TAGTTTCCTACTCTACTTCAATATAATGTAAACGGATCAACTCAGATTTGATTTTCATATTTTCCGATGGCCTGGCAGGCCAGCCTGGTGGCAGCTCTGATATACATCAACAAATTCCAATGTTTTTAGTTCAGAATAGAAGTAATCAAAAGATCTCAAACTATCATCGTAAACTCTTACAGCTAACGCCTATCTCTATAGAAGATTTCAAGTTGAAATGTGAAACTCAATTTTCTTGATGTTCAGACAGAAGACTACGACATTGGGCTAAAAAATGCAATATCACTGCAACGATAAGCCAATAGTAAGAAATTCTTTCAAGTTATTCATAGTTCATTAGAACCATCAAGATACACATTGGGCTTCCTGAATTTCGCCAATAAGACTTTCGCTAGTGTAACATGTAGGTTAACAGAAAGCACCAAGATATATTCTGATACCCACCCTCCTCGCTCATATCCAACATTTATATTCTTCTGTGACAAATGGTAAAAGTTCCTCGTGACTTTCGCCATTGGCAAATATCCAATTGGCGAAATTCAGGTAAGCCATACATTGATTCGACTTAAAAATCAATTTATCAGTGGGAAACCGTCCCTTGCCAATCGATTGACTTACATCTCTAGTTAAGAAAACTGTATTAAACATCTTTTTATTCTAATCTGAATTTTAATCGCCTATAGAAATCGACTTGTATCGATTTTCTAAACATACCATAAGTAAAGCAAAATGAGTCAAATGATTGCAATAACATTGAGCATAATCATTGACATAGCCAACAAAATGACATCCATTATCAGTTATCCATGATCCATTATTTTCATCAAATGACCAATAAACACAAGAAACATTATATGATTGAAGTGACTATGATAAATAAATAAAAATTTTCTTAAAAAAAAAAACAGAAATAATTATCCTACTTCTGGTACTTGAATTTGAAATCTTATTAAATCTTCATCTGTTTTAATTGTTGTTAAATTTGCTATTTGATAAGATATAGGTATACCAAAATTAGTTATATTTATTTGTGGAAATAGATTAAAATTTGAAAATATTGTTTCAATTATACGATAATTATTTAATTTGATTAATTGTGTTTGTAAAACTCGAATATTAATTTCAATAATTGTATTTGGATGTTTATTTATATTTATTTCTTGATATTTATTAGCATTTATTCTAAACCATTCATTATTTTCATTTTCAAAATTAATATCTAATATTGATATATTTATATTTTCATATTCAAATGAAAGATTTTGTTTATTTTCAATTTGAATTTTAGTCGGAAATAGATCAAGAAATTGTAATAATCTATCAAAAAAAATTAATAGAAAAATAATTAGAAAATAATTCAATACTTATTTGTCACTAATTTAAGTGAACAATCTTCTATTTCAATTTGTCCAGTAATATTAATAAGTTGATCAAATATATTTAATATATCTATCGTTTGTTTAGTTGTAAACGATGGTAAAACAAGTAAATCTTCAAGTTTTTCAGTCATTTTTGTTATTGTATTTAGATTTATTGGAATCAAACTTTTTAAATTAGATGATAAATATTCATTACTCATTTCAGTTGTATTAAAACCAATTATCTTTGCAAATGATTCAAAACGTGTGATATTAATTGGTTTAATATCTATTAAAAATAATCATCCATATTATTCGTGCAAAGAAATGAATATCTACCTTTCATTTGACATATAACACCTAATGTTGGTTTAGTACAAGGAATATCATTCAATTTACCAACTTCTCCTAACGATGATTTTTTATTTGTATCAACGATTATTTCTACACATTGTTCACCGTCTTGATAAGATGTACTGTGATAATTGTTTGGTTCATTTTTATTCCATACAGTAACTTTCTGTTTTTTTTTAGAAATAGAGAAGAGAAAACAAATTGTAGTTAAAATTATACGGAAATTTAAATACAAACCTTTTGTCCATCATTTCCAATATAACATAGAAGAGTTGCATTGACATAGGAAGTATGAGAATAATCATCACACTATTAAAAATAATTAATATAGAATAAAAGTCACCTTTGATCTTATATTGATTGAAAAAAAGTGCTGATATATGAATTTCTTTTATTAGATAATAGCATTTTAAATGCTAAATTAAACTAATTGTGACCATTGGTACATGTTTACATGAATATCAAAATCTTATTTCGAATAATCAACACTGTTGTAAGTATATGATAAAACAGAAATTTCATCGTGACAATAGTTCACCAAATCAAACATCATTTTTTCAAGTTAGCTCATTTGGGTCTGAAATCTCGAATACTTGTCTAATTTGAATTCGATTAATACTGATACTTTGCATGTAATCAATTTCGTCAAACTGTGAATTTATATAAAAGCATGGGATTGAAAGCTGGCTCGATCATAAACTGAACAATTTACTGTACTTGAAAACAGATCACAGAAGTGGGCAATGATATTGTTTTACTAAGAGAATTCGTTTTTGAATAAAAACTTTATGAGAAATCAAGTGACAAAGTAACTGAATACATGGAGAGGAAAATGAATAATCAGAACACATTTATGTGTGTATCCATAAAAACAGAAACACATCAAATGAATCCGGAATCACTTGTTTTTTATGGAATTCAAGATGATCTATCTGTATTGTTGTTGTTTGTGGGATAAACTAAACAGTACACTTCTTCATATAAAGTAAGAACTTTCAAAACTGTACTATGACTATGAAAATATTTGTCAAGTGTCGATTAGCTTTGGTAGCCAAAAATCGTACTCATGCAGGACATTACTCCAAGTATGCATAAATCAGAAAGGACATACATTTTAGTTTTTTTCTTTATGATTAGAATTGTCAATTTCAGTATAAATAAGAACAGTTGAATATCTCCAATAAAAATTATTTGTTCTGTATCCTACTATAAACTCTACTTGTTGCTTTGATTTTTATGGTTATACTTATTAGAGAACGAAACAGACCTAAGAAAATTAGGTCTGACCTGCTCATAATTAGAACTCATTGGGCTCAGCATTTCAGACCCAATCAAATCGTACTTAAATGCGCTCAATGAAATTTTTCAATTGGGATTGGATAGTCATCCCAAAGACATGAAATACTTTTTTCTTTGTAATTTTCGTATCCGATGACAAGTGTATCCTACACATTTTTCTGTTCTAGGCCAACCCGACGATCTCTACTCTTAATAGACTATGAATCTTTTCAGGCTTCTTTTGTCTATCTACCGTCGCCTATGTATTGTTTTTATTTAGTAATAACATGATGGTAATTAAATGGAAGTAGAAAGCTATTGTTATAAAAAGATAAGATAGACATGTATACCGGAATGACATGATTAAACGAAAAACTACTGGGTTTAATATTGGATGTATCTCTCGAGAAGAGACAAAAAAGAAAATATTAACAATTAGAAAAAAAAAAACTCTATTTTCTCCGAAATTAAGTCTTTCCATGCTAAGATCATATGAATATGAATTAAGAAACAATAAGAATTAATCAATGATTCATGTAAGATGATAATAATAATAACCAATCCGAATGTTCGAACAGTAATTTAGCAAAACCGATGAACAATGTTATCACAATCGATAATTATTCATGATTATGTCCAGTCAAAATAATATAAAAAACAATATTTCGAAAGCTATACTATCTCAATCTTTGATACTCACATCTATTTCATTCTGTGTCCATGTTACATTATTAGACCATATCCATATTGATTCTGATTGATTCTTACTATTTAATAATCGTTTTAATCCAATATAATATCCTCTTGCTTTTGGACATTGTCCTTTACATGTTATATTAACTAAAAATTTATAAAAACCATTTTTCAAAAACAAAAACAAAAAAAGTCTATTTTATCTTACACATATTTAATTGTTGGAGTTGTTGAAGTAATTGAATATTATCAATAATAGCTAATTTAAGACCATATCTATGATACATTTGTTCAGCTTGTTCATATTGTAAAATTTCTGTGATTCGAACATAACAAATACGTTTAAATTTTTGTACATATTTTATAGTTCGTAATGGCCATAATGGATTAACACAAGCAGATTGTTCTAAAAAAAAAAAAGAAAATTTTGTATAAATATAAATAAAATTTTTCTTGAATTAAAATTTAACCTTGATTCATTTGACAATCCGTTGTTGTTGTACAATAATGTGCACAATCTGGAGATAAACGATAACGCCATTTATATGGTCTTGCTTGTTGTCGATATTCATTGAGACATAACTATAGAAAATTTTTGATCAAAAATAAAATAATTAAAATTTAATTTACTTCACGTCTTGTTTCAGTAGTTTCTCTTGATTCTTCATATTTAATTTGGTAAGAAATTTTAGATTGTAAACAATTATTTGAAGTTCTACGAGGAATTTCATTATATTCTATATACGTAACTTAAAAAACAAAGAAAAAGAAAATTATAATAATGAATTCTTCATTAATCTTACTTGATTGTATGAATATTATACTCGTTAAATGTAAAACAAATATTAAAATCATCTTCTCTAAATTCATGAAAGTATTGTTTGTTTTTTTTACATTGTAATATATCCTCCTGAAAAAAGAAATAGTTCGATTCGATATTTTTACAAAACTAGTTATACATTCGGATAGTGCACAAAATTCTCTGCAACTTTATCTATGTTCATTTTGAATTATACTTATTCGATAAAATAGAAATTCAAGTATCGAGTGAAGATCTCCTCATCGTCAGATTCTCCGGAACTGCATTGTTTTTTCTTCATTTAATCTAAATTTATTTTTGAATAATAGACACAAGTAAAATAAGCATATATTCTGAAAGCACACAAAAATCTCTCTTACTCTGTATTAGCTCCCGAATGGTTATCTAGTAATTAAATAAAATATATGAATAATTATTCACATGTCGACCCTAATCGAAATATTATTCCGAGTTTTTTCTCTTGGATAAAATACTGTGTACACAGATATTATCAAAATTCTCAACAACAATTAACCTAAGCATGTAATATGTAAGTACGCTATCAATATTCGAAATATATGTCCATGATAGAAAATTTTACGTAAAGCTCCCGACACATTAGAAGACCCGGGGTCTTCTATTATGTCCCCTAAAAAGTTATATTTTTCAGCAGTCTTTCCAACAAATCTTTGTTTTAATTCATTTTTATTCAATATAATCGTTAGAAAAAGATAGTTTTACTTATTCGACACGTGTATAATGAGAAAGCAACAAATGCTATCCTGTGAAAAAAGTNAACCTTGCGGTGTAAGATCAAGCATACAATATGGTGGTCCACGTAAAATAACTTCTTGCATAATAATACCAAAACTATATACATCACCCGCTGCTGAACTTGTTATTATTGTTGCAACGTCATTTTTAACAATTGTTGTACGAACATGTTCAGGTGCCATCCATAGAAGATCTAAATTTAAGATTTAAACAAAAAAAAAAAGTTTTCTTCTATAGAAAAATATTTTCTATATAAACCAGCGAAGTCAACTTGTCTTGGAGCATTTTGTAAAGAATACATTTCATTAAGACGATAATCAGTTATTTTTAATACCCAACGTGAATCGACAATACAATTTCTTGATTTTAAATTTCCATGACAACGTATTGAAGAATTTGATAAATAACGCATACCCTTAAAGAGTAAATTTTTCTTTAAATAAAATAATTGATTTTAAATAAGAAAAACATACTCGAACAAGATCATTGAGCATTGACCATTTAAAATTCCAATCAAGTTTTATTTCTTCTTTTTTAAGAATATCCTTAAAAAACATTAATTTCGATATACTACTTTGTATGTGACTTACGAAACAAAAAAAAAAATAAGTCTAAAATCCAAATTAAAGATATACATATTTCTATTTTCAACAAAACACATCAATTTGAACTTTCAATAAATGTTCATCTGTGAAGAAAGTAAACAATAGATATTAGAACTCTGCTGTATTTTTCTAACGAGGAAAGATCCCCAATAGAGCCTAATTAGTAGGTAAATATCCAAGAGGACCTCTGCCACTGAGATATTGAATTTTCAGTGAGTTTTGACTTAAAATGTGAATTTTTCAAAATAAAGACGCTTTGTTATGATAATTATGAAACATTCATATTTTCGAGATATTTTATCAAGAACAATGAAGCTTTTTTCTACAATCTGGTTTCATCAGGACCTTTATATGGGCAAAGTCCTCTAAAAATTGACTATCTAAACAGCAAAATATCCAACATCTCGAATCACTCTAGAGTATTTATCAACTCATTAGACTCTATTGATTGAATATCGTCTAATATTAAAAACGATTTATCACCTAGAAACTTTTCTTCCTAACTAGATAAGTACTAATCTCAGTTCAACTAAATAAACATTCATCGTTTTTGTACTAATCTCTATTCATTTTTGTTCTATAACTGATGCATACCTTCTTCTACAATATCTCTAACTATGGAATGAAGTTGTATACGCTCAGTGCATACTTCCGTAATATTTCATGGGTGAATACTCATGCGTAGAACGATCCGGTGAAGCTCTGATACACATATTAATCCTCATGATAGATAGCTACAAATAGAAGCATCCATAAATATCTATAATTATTGTTGTTTCTTTAGCCTTAATCAAAACTGATGTCAAGATCTGTTCATAGGAATTATATGATTAAGAATAAAAAGCAAAATAATAGATCAAAAGTTTTTAAATATAAGAACTTTTTTCAACTTAAATAGGTACAAATGAGGTCGATTGAGTTATATATATTTAATTAGATTCAACAGATGGCATTAATCCTACGGTAGGTAATGATGAGAATTGTGGAAGAAAAGATTCTCACTCATATCAGAGATGCCCATCGCGGCTGAAAACCTGCCGCTGCCGCCGCCGCGATGACTTATAAAAAAAGTTGCCGCGCCGCTGCCGCGATGGTTTTCAAAAAAATGTTTCGAATTTCACTGCTGTGACCGTATTGGACCACAAATATTGGTACTAGTCCATCAGATTCATTCAGTCTCAGGGTGTTTCATTTGTAAACAATGAAATTCTATCAAATTCATGCAGTTTTTCAATGTCCTCGGAAAGAAATCTGCCGCTGCCGCTGGCGCCACCGCGGCAGCGCCGCGATGGACATCTCTGACTCATATGCTCATCCATAAAAATAGACGACAGCATAATATCATAGAATGTCAAATACATCGATGAGACAAGCGCCATCTATTGAATTTAATTAAATTTTTATTCTTAATGTAATTGAGTTCATTTTTGCTAACAGTCAAAAGATGTTTTTTTTAGCTCTTTTTGAGACTCAAATCCATCTAATAAGAATCTAAAAACAGTAATGTCTTCTGAATATGACAATATTGAAAGTAGAATTAATTGGTAGAATATTTTAATCAGATATTCAAAATTTATTAGTGAAAACAAAATTAAATATAAATTCATATTGAATATAAATCTTACTTCAAGACTGCCTCTATCACCATATTCAAATACTAAAGCCGGTGCATTTTGATCAATAAAAAGTCCAAGAAATGTATTTAGATTTTCATGACGTAAATCTTTTAATTGTCGTAATTCACGCATAACTTTAGTACGCAATGATAATGGACCAATATGTAATTGTTTTACTTCAACTAAATCACCCTAGAAATAAATTTTTGTTACTTTTCTTTTTTTTTGAATTTTCATTTAATTAAATAAATTAATAAAAACTTACATTATAACGTGCTGTTTTTCCTGCACGAAGATCATCACTACGCATTGATAAATTACTTCTTTCATGTGCTTCATTTCTTAAATTAACCTTAATAGAAAAAAAAAAAATTAAATAAAAATTTTTTTTTTTTTAATTAAAAAAAAACAAAAATTCTATTTAACAAACTTTGCTTGTAAATATTGATCCTTTAGGCATAACAAACATTAAATCGTCTGGTAATAGAATTATTTTATTTGGACCTTTTGACATTTGTTTTCGAGCACGTCGAGCTCTATTATATTAAAATATAAATTTATATCTTTTTTTTTTTTTTTTCTTAATTTAAATTTTAACAAACCGTATAACAAAAAAAGCAATAAGTACAGCTGCACATGCTAGTACAACTCCTAATAATGAAAAAAGTACAATTCGAAGAATCTGCCAACCTAAATATTAAAACACAAAAAAAGAAAAATTATTTTTTCAAAATTTTAATAGACAAAAAAAAAACAAAAATATATATAACCAACCAGTATCATTAGGAGTATTCGTATCAAAATTTGGATAAATAATTGTTGTACATAAATTTAAATTTGTATCAATATTTTCAAATATTGAATTTATTGTATCTATTGTTTTAAATATTGTCCATGTATAATTACATTGTCTACCAACTAATAAATAGTTAAATAAACGTTGATAAGTACTATCTAAAGTAATTGGAGTAATAAATGATGATAAATATGATTGTCGAAGATATTCAACACTTTCAAGTTCATTTAAAATAAATATTATCTTGAAAAATAAAAAAAATAAATAAAATATTAATTATTAAAAATTCTTACATCATCACTAAATGTTATATTTGATGTATCAGAAAGAATTTCTTGTTCATAATTTAAAATAATTTCATTAAAGTTATTTTTTGAATTAATATCAATTGGTAAAAGATGAAGAATAGGAAATGAAGCAGATGCTCCCATTGATGTTGTATTCGGTAAATATTGTGTTGTATAAAAACTAACAAAATGAGGCGACCAACGAAGAAATATAAAAACAATATTACTTGTTGTTGATTTTGATTTTGAATATGAAATAATTGGTGAATAAAGTGATATTTCATCATCATATGAACATAATATATAATAGACTAAAATAAAAATATTTTTATTTTATTAAACAAAAATAATTTTAGACAAGAATTCAAAAAAAAAATTTAACTGATGTCGAGAATAATTCTTTATAATAATTAAACGTTAATAGTATTACTCAATCAGAACGATAGAAACATACTTTTGAAATACTTGAAAAATTTTCTAAATGAAATATTCAATACTAAAATTTTATAACCTATGTAGAATATTTAAATCGATAAATCATAATTAATCTATTATTAATTCAGAAAGTATTGTTAAATCAACATAATATAACAGAATACATTAGAATAAATCTATTTTCTATTTCAAATAATTTCATCACTGAACTATAATTATCAACCATAGTAAATTAAGGAAGATGCTGGGAGCGATCGTCTCCTTTTCAAAAGATTTTTCTCAGTTTTTTTCTAGCAGAGACAAGGCTTAAAAATGAGCTGATACTTTCTATAATGAACTTGAAAATATGTTTTATGATAATGATCGCTTCTCATTATAAAAACCTCTATATCCATCCCTGTTGTATAGTAATGGAATAAAAGCATTCTAAATAAAAAATTCATATTCATTAAGTTTCGAAACGAGCCATTTTTCCATGGTCTGACCATCAAAAGGAAGTTTTCTTTACAAAGAATTTTTCTCAACAGAATTCGGAGATTACTTCAGTACTTGTTAGTTGACTTGAAAGCAAATAATTGATGTTATGTGATATTTGATTAACCCAAATTGTCGAAATCACTGGTTAATCAAAGTTGCAGAATTACATAAAGTGTTATTTACAGCTTCTATTCTCGACATTTGTTATGTGTCAATCGCTTTCTCATGTTACTGATAAAAGCATCCGACCACACGATCTTTTTCAAAATCTGTGCTTCATGTATTGTCATCAGAATACTTAGGAATCATTTTATACATTTCGATAATCTTCAAAATACATATAAACGTTATTGTTAAGTACAATAGGTTGTTTTTTTTTTCAATAGCAAAATTGTTTAAATAAAATGTTAAGTTGAATTTATTCAAATTGATATGTACTGACCTTTACTTCGTAGAGAATTTGATGTTGGTGGAAAATTTGATTTAAGTAAAATTTGTTCAAGAATTAAATTTTTTTCTGTTAAATAAGTTGAAAATTCTTGTGCTAGATTAAAATAAAAATCACTTGAATCACTTATAATTATTGAAAAATAAGTTAAAGAATATTGATTCATAAATAAAGTAGCTGCTGATGCTAATTGTTGATTTGTAACTAATAATTTTAAAATATTATTTACAGATAAATCTATTTCAGAAAAACATATTGAACTACTAATATTAATTGATTCATATTTTAATGCTAATGCTAATGGTAATGAACAATCACCTTTATTCCAATTAAATGCAATTGATTGAGTATCATTTACTGATAAAAGTGTTTCTATTGAATCAAGTAATTTAACACCTGATAATGATAAATGTTGAACATATGAAGAATTAGTTAATATACTATCATTTGAACGTAATACAGAATATATTTTATTTGTATTTATATGTGATAATACATAAGTGAAACTATTCAAACATAAATAATATGGAATACATATAAAAATTAATATAATATCATATAATAGATGCATGTATTAAACATTCGATATTGAAAAAACTTTAATCTACAAATAAATTAGTTTGAAAAATATTTTTATGAAAATAAACAAAATTTCAAACTTGTTTATAGTGTTATAAATTTACATTGAATCGAAATAAATTTCGATATACATTTTTAATTAGAGGATTTTGTTATTTTTGAAAAGAATAATTATTAACAAAAACCTATTGCGATAATAAAAAATATGATAATCAAGAAGAATATTATTTCATCACTACATGAAATCAAGAAGATTATTGGATACAACAATAATCAGCATATTATTGTCGGTAGTTGCAATCGGATATGATGCTAATCATGAATATTAATATTCTAAGTTTATAGATTAATTTTCAAGAAATAAACTGAAAGTTCATTTATTAAAAAACACAACCTTCTAGTTATGATGACATTTATAAAGTGAATCTATATAACAACAACAACAAAAAACAATTATATTTACTAATCTTAAGAATAAACGTAATATATTTAATATTAAATATAAATTACAAGGTAGGAAAAAAAGAACAAAGTAATAAATAGATTTTTATTATATTAATGATATTTTATTATTGTCGCTAAATATGATGACACTTACTTTGACCATACCTCAATCAGATTAGAAACTTCAATAAGTCATAAATGTCAATATGTATGAGTACATGTTCATAGAAAAACTAGCAATAAATATGATATGTATTATTAGTAGTAATGAGTAGAAAAAAAAAAAATTTTTTTTTCTTGTGCGCCATTTAATGATCATATCTCTATTATTCATTATGGCAATGAAATCATAAATCTTTCTTATGACTTCTTTGCATGAGAATGTCTAATATTGTTTAACTCTTCGAAGAGAGGAGTCCTTCCTTTTTTTTTTGTTTTATAAAAGAAATAAAACTGAAGTGTCAGAATAAGTTATCATTGAGAAAGTACTAACTATCATAATTATCATAGTTATCTTGACTTTAAAGACACGAATAGTGAATTCTAGAAGGTAAAAAAAAAGAAAGAAAATACTCGAAGAATCTACTTTAATGATATGCGTTTCTATAAAAAAGATGAAAGAAAAAATTTTCAAATCCTATATGTACGAACTTTGTCTTCCGAGAATTAATTAATCTGATTCTATTTGTCGTCTTGTCTCTTATGTCTTAAGGAAAAATGATTGCAAAAACGGAAAATAAAAAACATTATAAAAACGAGCAAAAACAAGAAAAATCTATTCGGTTTGTTTATTCGAACGTAAATGAAAGACGAATAGTAACTATTATTATTTAAATAAGAAAAAGAGATAAAAAACGAAGATATTTGGCATTGAAGCAGAAAAAAAAGTGATATAATGAAATATATTAACCAATGCATTTTCTTGTCAGCTCGTTTATTCTCACGGATGAAAGATTAACATGAAAGCAACCAAATTCAAAACTTATTATATGAAGATAATTGTGGATGTCATCTCATTAGAACGAGAGAGAAAGACAAGACAGTTTCCGGTTGTTTTTCCTTCATAAAAAAAAACACTCTTATCTATATATCTCTTCTTATAAAATTGGATTTCTCACAACGCATACTTGTTTTTTCTGCTTAAAAATATTTTTGTTACTTGATTATAAAATAATTTAATGTGCTTCTTATGTTTTTGAAAAGTGACAATGATAATGTCATCGTACACATACACTTACCTAATGATTGACTGACAGATGCGAAACCATAATAGATCTACTTGAACAAGTTGCTTCTTTCATTCTGGCTTCCCCCATCTAACTGTGTTCAACAAGGAATAGTGCATTAAAAAAGAAAATCCGGCTTGAAAAAAAAATAATAAAAAGGCAAAAAGAAGAAGAGAAAAGAAGTTTTATTTTTTTTTCCTACCTTCTTTTTTTTTTTTCTTTATAGTTCCGTTCAAACTCGCAAGACGTCCGATGATGAATATCTTCTTTATTCTCACTGTCATCGCCGTTGACGATACTGCAGATGTGAAATGTCATTAATCGGCTTAAAATGGATCTGTTCTTGTCTTCATCACGACATTCTTTCTTTGCTTTTGTCTGCAATATAATGAAAAAGAGAAAAATAATTTAAATTTGTGCTTCATGGATTTAGTTTTAAAAAAAAAAAGCTGATACTATGATACAAAAAAATAATATAATAAATCTCATCAATGCATTACTATAGTCAAAAATATTTAAATTCTTTTTTAAAAAAATAAGAAAACTCTGCTTACTGACAAATCATTAGTTTATATTGTCTTCTGACATCGAGTATCTCTGTGATACATTATTTTTGGTATTATTGATAGAATATTAATTTTCAAAGAATTTACTACGGAAGTAATCTTTCTGAAGAATTTTCTCTTGAGACTAATTATTTATTCGAGCGAAATAATCTTACATCATGAAAAAACTATGTCAGTTATTCTAATATGATTATAATCGAAGACGTATATATTAAAATATACTCTTCCGAATGATATTACTTTTCTATTATCTATTATAAACAGATCAAGCAGAAAAGTAGATTATTGTATTAATATTATTTTTTTTTCTCTTCTAAGCATTTCAACCAATGTGACAATTAAAATTGTTCGAATTATAAGTTTTTGAATTGAAAATCTTTCGACTAATTTCATTTAAAAACAATAAGCACTGTTGCATTAGTCTTGTTATCTATGGAAAGTTCATATAGTACTCTATTTATAGACAATGATAAAATCTGCTGAATAAAACATATATAGGAAAATATAGAAACATATGTGTTAGATTCATTCGCTATAAACTGACATAAAATTTAAAACTTTAGACTAGTTATATGTTTTGAAAGACAAGCTATCAACTTAAAACTTATGAATAGTTGATAATAATGTGAGAGAATGTGACTTTCTCATAGGCTGACTTTAGTCCTATATAATTAGTCATGCGAAATGTTTTGCATCATAAATGTGAAATGGGAACCGTGCCTGCTATTTAATCAATTGTGATTCAATCATCATCTATCATGAGACTTCCAAAAGTTTTTATAGTCATGTTATTTACATTCAGATTGTTATTAATGTAGGATAATTTATCTTCAAAACAGCGATATCATTTAAAAGTTATAGTAATCGATGGAAAAACGATTTACATGAGCTGCAACTGCATATTCACATATATTAGATGAGACATACTTTCATAGAACAAGAAATTTTATCATTCAACGATGGTCAATTTACGTGTTTCATTTAGTAGAGCTTATCATGCTTATGAATAGAGAACTTCATGATTCATGTATAGTGAACGAAACGATACATTGTTTACTATCCAACATTAAGAGTTTCTTTTTTAAAAGAATCATGAAAGTTACAGTCATTTTTATTGAATATATGATATTATTATAAATTTCGATCGTATTTAGAATCAGTTTGGTTACAGTCACTAATTAATACAATTTTCAACATTATTTAAGAGACGGGCCACGACCTGATCGAGTATCAGTTGAATATAGGAGGCACTCGATAAAAATTTTTTTTTTGATGTCTTTTGCTCATTCGATACATCAATGTCAAAAACCATCAAAAATTCGAAGGTATAAGTCCTTTTTTGCATCAATACTATATTTTTTTTTCAAATATGTTTTTATCATTTTGTAGAGAAAAA